TTTAAAAATGGAATGAAAAAATGGCATACACTTGCCACTTTGTCAAAATATTTTTATGATACATTTACAAATAGATGTGTATAAACTATAGTTTGCCCTACACAAAACAGTTGTTTAGCAGCAAAAGTGGGACTGTGTGGTTTATATGTCTTTCAGCTACTTTCTGAGCATGGTGGTGTGACATATTCTTGAATCATCCTGGGGGTCAGCTTTCCTGTTGTTGGAAGAGGTTTAATTAGGCTCACATTTTGAGAGGATTTGGTCTGTGGTTAGCAGGCTCCAAGGCAAAAACATCATAGACAAAGGGTGTGGGGAGGCAAAGCTGCTTAGTTTATGGCATCTGGAAAGCAGAGCAAGCGGAGAGCGCCCAAGAGGAAAGAGCGAAAGACCAGCTACACATGGCAAAGCACACACCTTTATGACCTATCCAGACATAGCTGGCTGTGTGCTCCACAAACCCTTCCAATGAATTCCAAAATCAATCAAGTTGACACTCCACCCTCACCAATGCAATCATGAAGCAGTCATTTTACAAATGAAGTTTGGTAATAATTCCTTTATACGCTGGGAATTTCCTGATTCCATGACTTTTCTTGAGTTTTGGCTTCTAACTGAAGAATGTAAGATTTGCAACTTTGCATTACTCGCTCCTGGATGTCTTACAGGGACAATGAGGTAAATGTGTATGTTTGGAGGCACTGAATTTGTGGGAACTGCAAACTGTATCATTGTTCCCATGGAATCATTGGGCAAATATTTTAATTCTTATTTAAAAACCTCAGTATTTCCCTTACGTTTTTTGTTGTAGATAATACTACCTTCTAGCAGAAGAAACAAAATATAGTGTTAACTTTATTCATAGTTTTATTTCTCCTTAAGCATTATTCCATGTGATGACAGATGACTAAATAAATCATAGACATATGACCTTCCCATGAATGAGAAAAACTAAGAGACACAGTGAGCCCCAGCACTTAGTGTCAAGGACAAAGATAGGTAGTCATTATTGTAGGCCATTGTGTACCAGAAACTGTAGAGGAAGAACCAAGGTCAAACACAGTCCAGGTGAGTCTCAGGCAGGTCACTCACTGGTCAAGGAGCCAAGATGGAAAACCGGATGTGAAGCGCAGGAGAGCAGACAGGGTGAAGGTTCAGTATGCTCAAACGTTCAGTATGGTGCATCACAGTTGCCTGTGGAGTTTACTAATATGTGTAATGCCAGACCCCGCCCCTGGAGCTTCTAGTTCAGTAGGTCTAGATTAGTATCTGAGAATCTGTGTTTGTCACAAGCTCCTGGATGATGCCGATGATGCTCATCTATGGACCAGGACTTTGAGAAACAGTGAATTCCAGAGACAGTCACTAGTGCCTGCAGTGATATTTTATTAAATTCTGGAATATGCACTTGGGCATACTGAGTTTTTTAAAGATTGGGGACAGAGAAGACAAATACAACATTTTGACTTTTTTCTTTTTAACTGACTTTTAAAGAAGTCAAACACTAGTTTACAGCCTATTAAAATATAAATCTTTATATTAAAAGCAAGATAAGACTATATTCTCTCCCTATAAATATGCACAGAAGTTACTCTGCAATGATGGAAAGGTGATTTATTTCTTGCTTTGCAGCTGCCCAGTTAGTATAGTGCTCTGGTTAAGCATGTGTGCTCTGAAAGTTGACTGCTTCAATTCAGATCTGATTTCACCACTGGCTTTCACCTTCAGGCTGTGAATTTCTTAGTCTCATGACTCCTTTTGTAAAGTGAGACTTTTATAATTCTGTAGGTTTGTTTTGGAGATTAAATAAAGTAGGGAGTTTAAACCTCTGGTTGAAATGCTTGGTACATAATAATTGCACCATAATTGTTAGCCATTATTAGCGCATCAAAGTAAATGCCTTTGTTCAGGAATGTGACTTTGTATATAATACTTAGGTAGTTATCTCAGGTTAACCTGATAGGTTGTCCTCTGTATCTATAATTCATTATAACTCTTTGGCTAAGAATAGCTCTGAGTTAGCATGAAGTTATAAATTATATGTAAACAACTGCGCTTTAGAAGTTAAAGTGCATTGTAGATAGGCAGGCCTCCCAATGGCCTGTGGCAAGTGCAGACTGAGCAGGAATACCTCCGTGGCACAGTGGTGAAGAGCATCAGCTATGGGAATAGGCTGCCTATTCCAACTGTGCCCTTATATAGCTCTGTGACCTTCATCAAGGTGCACGATCTCTGTTCCCCAGAATCTTCATATTGCTAACGGTGACAATAATAATAACACTCATTTCAGACAAATACATGACTATGCACATGCATACACACAAGCACAGAATGATTAAACAAACGAAGTATTTAGGACACGGGCCTGGCACAAAAATAAACACCTCTATAGTTTGCTGCTTTTGGTATTTACTTTGGAGATAGGTATATTTTGTCAGAAGTTTGTTTTTAAGGAAAACTAGCCTGAAAAATTGTTATTTCCACTTGCTCTAATTCAATATTGGACAGCATAGGTCTGTAATAAATTTACATAACTGGAAACAAGCATTATTGTCTTAAACTTTATAAGAAGGCAAATGCCTCTCTCCATTCTTTCCAGTCTTCTTAAAAATTTAACTGGCATTTCCAGTGTAACCAGATAACCTAACCTTTAATGATATGCTAAAACAAGGAGCTTCCCACCACAAAGTTTATCAAGATGTGATCTGAAAGAATGTGATTTTACTATTGCCAAGTTCCTCAGTCTTTTCCCCATCTGTTGTCCCTCTAGTCTTGCTTCTGAGTTTGACATGATTGACCTTTCTCTCAATATTCTTTAAATAGTCCTTTTTCTGGGCAATCTTAGATCTGACTTCTTTCCCAGCCTTTAGCAGTGTTCCTGATTTCTCCTGTCTCTCCTTTTGTCGTCTACTGTGCTTCCTGGCCACCCACCACCTCCACACCTACCCCTGTCTTTTCACGATGCTCTGAGGACTCAGTTGTTTCCTAAGCTTCCTTTCCCCTCTCTAAGCCCCAGGCCTCATATATGTTCCCTCAGATTCCCAAAGTCTTTTAGCATTTTCCCTTGAACTCTTCCATACCACATCAAAACTCCCCCTTGAAGTACCCTTGGGTATCAGAAATACCACACAGGTGCAATCTCTGAGCTTAATATTCTCCTCTCTCTGACCTGTTCCTTTACATTCCTTGCCACTTCACTGCCAATTGTCCTGCTTGGTCACAACCTTATTACCCTAGCAACTACCTCTATGGAGATAGGAAGCACTGAACCCTCTGACAGCCTTCTCCCTGTAGTTCATCTTGAGCAGCACCTACAGGTTAATCTCCCTTTCAACAGGGTGCTTGTCCAATCCAGAACTTGCCTGTTCCCCTTATGCCAAGTGCAGACACATCTGCCTGACTGCCTACCATTTCCATAGTTTGCCTTTAAACCCTGTAATGCCCACTGTCTCCCTTGGGGCCAGATGGGCTCTGCTTTGCACAAGCCTCTGCCCAGGATCCGATGAACACACCTTATCTCACCACCTTATCTCACGCTCTCTTCTCCTCCCCTTCTCTGTGTGAGGCTTATACTTCTGCAGTAGGCATCAGCTTTGTTTTCCAGGTGAAAAAAATTGGAACAATTCTTTAAATATTCTTAAATTATATAAGCATGTAGTATTGCATCTGAAATAGGAAACACACACACACACGCACACAATATTGTCACTGACAGAGACTAAAGAAAAAATGTGCCCCTAATCCCTTTATTCTACAATGAGAACTAAACAGCTGAAATGGATATATTAAAATTTAATGGCTATATATTTATATTTATGAATCATTTTATTCATATCAAATGATATCTAGTTACCATTGACATTTTAGAAAGCTTAAATGTCCAACAGCAAAACAAAATTAAAAGAGAGAGGCTTTTGTGTTTCACTTGCCAGTTAATTTCCACCATCCATGTCTTGTTTTAGAAGCTTCAAAAGTCAGTATCAAAATGGATAACTTACAGGGCATTCCACCAACCAGTTTAGGCTCCCTGACCAGGTTGACTGAATTACAGGCCTCAAAGTAAACTCTCTGCAGGAGAACACAAACAGACTTCAGCTCACAGTCTGTTTGTTCTGGGCCCTAAAAAGCCGAAATCCAAAATGCAAAGAATTGTATTTTGGGATCCACTGTGAAATACAATTCTAATTCCAACTTTCAGAGTTTGATCACTGTTCATGGGTTAAGAGCACAGGTCCCACAAGGCTGTGCATGCTTCAGACACCAGCTGCAATTTTAGCGGACCCCAGCTAGCTAGCTAGAGTCCTGAACAATAGTATAAAATTAAGGTTCCCAACAGCCCTTTAGGGTTGATAATTTGCTAGAACAACTCACAGGCATAAGGAAAGCATTTTTATTTTCATTAAAGTTCTACCAAAAACACACAAGGACCAGTGAAATAAAGAAATACACAGGATGAGATCCAAGAAGGTTCCATGTGTCTATGTCCTCAGAATCTATGCCCTCAGGACACATCACCCTCAGGGAGTGTCAGTGCTGAAGATATCACAAACTCAAACCTTGTTCAGGCCTGGATGTCCAGAGATGTTTTTTATTTTGTTTTGTTTTGCATTTTTTTTTTTAAATTTGAGTTTCATTCATTTCAGACATGATAAATTATATAATCAACAGTAACATTGGAACATCTACTCCTGCTTGCTTTCTTGAAGTCTGGCAGGTCAGGCTGAATTCCCAAAGTAGAAACATTTTAACTACATGTTAAGTCTTTGTGCTACAATTAGCTCCCATTTTGAAGCTATGCTTTACTCGCATGGATGCAGTTGTGATATAGATACTCCAAAGAATAATATAGATTGTTTGTTTAAATGGAAGGTTACTGTTTGGTCTTATGTTTGTAAATCAAATTAAGAACTGCTTTAAAATGTGATATATTATAAATTGTTCTATTTTTGCTGTCCTATAATTGGAACAACATACTAATTTCTACAAGTTGTGACTACTAACAGAGAGCAATCACCTCACAGACTTATACCGGAGAGATGAAACCATCCAGGTGACAGGAAATGGCCACCTGCAGAGTCCTCGATTTCCGAACAACTACCCCAGGAACCTGCTCCTGACGTGGCGGCTCCATTCCCAGGAAAAAACAAGGATACAGCTATTGTTTGACCATCAGTTTGGATTAGAAGAAGCAGAGAATGATATCTGTAGGTAAGCATGGAAAAATAATCCCTTGGAGGTTAATGTTCTAAAGTAGGGAAAAGGGAAAGAAAAAAAAAAAGATGCCTTAGCAACTTCACATTAATCAGTCCTTTTGAGCCCACTAGACCTACACAAGTGTCCTTTCATTTTCAAAAACCCTGTGTCAGTCCTAGCAGACAAAATAACACGGCCTGCTTCTGCAGAAGGCCCGATAATGTAGCATGGATCACAGAAACAAATTTCAGCAACAGTCAAGACTGCACGTCTCCAAAGAGGGTGGAATCTGGGTGCCCTGACTTTTCAAGGCACAGGCAAGGGCTTTTCGAACAGCCCTTGTGTCTGGGCAGACACATCCAACATCCAGGTCACTTAGAGCTGCAGTTTGTGGTCCTAGTCCAAGCCTGCCATGAGCATAGAAGGCACACAACCCTGTTGAGCTCTGGCATCGCACCCAGGCTGCAGCCACCAGGACATTTCTGGCATTCAGAGATGGTGGCTGAGGACCTCTTCAGACTTTTACTCTAAATTTATAGTTGTGAGGGCGCAGATATGCATGGGAAGAAAGAGAGGCAAGCCCCTGATCTGTATGCTTCTCAGTTGTCTGCTTCCAATGTCTCTGCACCAGGAGTAGAAGATGAAAGCTGTGCTTGATAATCTCTCTTCTTAGCATATTTATCAGAGAAAGTCCAGGCAGTTGTTCGGTGAATTGTCTCCTCACAGCATTTTACTTGCTTAATTATCATGTGTAAGACCTGGGAGGATTTTTTTTTTCCCTTTATATACTTTATTGCATGTACTTGTTCTGCATTGCCAATGAACTACTGAACTGCTAAATCCTTTCTGCAGGTTTATTTCCCTTTGCATAATAAAAAGAGGTGCCTCAAATTCCTTTGTCCTTTGTTGCATGGTTATTATACTGACAGCTTTTATTATGTTGCTATTTTTTCTAAGAATAAGAACAGTGTCTATTACTTTCTAAGACTACAGAGGGTAATGTATGCCAGAAAGCAGAGACAAATACATGCATGGAGAGCCAGTTAATATTTGTAAAGAGAATAAACTAAAGCTGATCTTGTGTCTTTTCAACCTTGCAAGGAATAACTAACTTGCTGTGCTGGCAAAAAATAAAAATAAATCATTAAAAAATTATTAAAATATCATTAAAGATGATGACATGAAAGGTGCCATTATCTGTATTTACCCACAGAACACTTTTAGCATCTAATATGTGGGCCTTTTCTTTCTCTTACATCATATAAGTCACTATTACCAGTGTCCTATAAGTCAGTTCATTTCTAACATTACGAACTACTTCAGGTAAGTATGTGATCCCACAGGATATAAGTTCAATACCACAATATGTCTATCTTTAATATAAGTACATAGTCACAAGCCCACCATATTTCTGACCCACTCATTTTAAATAAGGGGGGTCCACATGCCCTCCTTGGCTTAACAAAGCTCAAGGAAGTGTTTTGCTGATTCTTACCAGTTTATTATAGAAGATATAACTCAGGAATAGTCAAGTGAGAGAGGTAAATAAAGTAAGGTATCTTAGTTACTTTTCCTTGTTGCTGAGACACAATACCTGATACTGAAAATTAAAGAGGAAGTTTATTTAGCTTATAGTTTGTAAATGTTTCAGTCCATAATGGACTGGCTCCAAGCCAGGGAGGCATGGCAGAGGGGCATTACAGAGGAGAAACAGTTCATGGCAAGCAGACGACAGCAAAACTAAGCAAATAAGGTAAAAGACAAACCTCTTTTTGTCCCTTTATTGTATTCAGGCTACCAGGGTTAGGGCAGTGTCAAATCAATTGATAGACTGATTCAACCAACTCTGAAAAAGTGCCATCTATGACTACATGAGGCTTTGGGGGGACATCTAGACACAAGCCGGAACACAAAACATATGAGAAGCACACTTTATGTGTTTCATTGCCTTAGTTACTTTTCTCTCATTGCTGGGACAAAATAGTTGACACAGAAAATTAAAGAAGGAAAGGTTTATGTAGCTCACAGTCTATAGAGGCTGCAGTCCATAATCAACTGGCTCTAAACAAGGAGGCATGCCACAGAGACAGCACTTCAGTGCAGCAGAAGGCAGCAAAAACAGCAAGAGCAGAAGAGAAAGAAGTCTCATTTCCTCCCTTATATCGTAATCTGCGCTCCCACATGGGAATAGCACTCCCACCATCTCTCTGCCCTCCTGGCGCACAGGATGAGCATGTTTAGAAAGTAAGGACACTGGCTCCCTACTGAGGTGCTTAGTTAAACTTCTAAACCTCTCACATTGACACAAATTATCAACCATAACAATCCACCACTTGTAAACTTGGCAAATACACATTTTTAAACAAGTTTCCAAATATAAAGACATTCTTATCATTTCACAACTTGACTATCATAACACAGGTTTACAAATTTTCAAGAACCATTTTTAAGTCTATCAACATTATACTACAATAGAGCCATGACATTTTGTCCTTGGCCCCCAAAGACTCATGCACATCCATCTGTGCAAAAGACACTTGGTATATCTGCAAGAGTTGCCAAAGTCCTAACAGTTTCTGCATTGCTGAAAAGTTCAAGTCCCAGGACTCCTCTATTTATGGCAAAGTGCTACCTGTGAGCCCCTCTATAAATTAAAACAAAGTTAAACACATACAGCATGCAGTGGCACCAGATAAACATTCTTATCCCAAAAGTTACAAATGGGAATACAAAGGAATGGGACCAAGCAGGTCCAAATACAAAAGGGCAAACATTAAGCCTTGTAGTTCAACATACAGCATCTGAGGCAATCTGTGGCAAATCATGATTCCAAGGGCTTAAGTGACTCCACCCCAATTGCACTTTTTGTCATAATGGCTCCCACAGCTTCTTAGACCCACTTTGCTCTATCTCCTTGCAGCTTTCCTCAGATGATCCACATTCCTGACTTTTGCAAATTTCTGGGGTCTCCACTACACCTTTGGCTTCACAATCACAGCTTTACACACTCCCTTGCAGGGGCACACTGCCTGACCTCCCAAGTCTTTTGAAAATGAGGTAAAAACCTTTTAAACACCATAACTCTTGCATTCTGCATGTGCCTAAAACCAGCACCATATGGATGATGCCAACATCTACTGCCAGCAGGTGCAGTCGACAGACTTTTCTCTCTCTTGGCTATAATGGAAAGGGTCTGTATCACTGAACACTCTGAATGCAATTCTGAGGAACACATTTTCTATGTTGTTGCCATTCTGGAACATGATGCTTTTTCCTCAAAGCAAAGTCTTTCACTTTTGCAGTTTTGAGCCTGGAAAGGGCATTGACTTGCTGTTTCTTGTGAGGCCCTAAGGCCATGTTTTATGTTCTCCTATTCTTTCTCAGCAATGGAGATCTCAGCTCTGTCTTTATAGTCCACAGTTCTGCTGGAGCCAAACTCACAGCATTTTAAATCATCCTACTGGGTTCTTTGCTCTTGATTTGCAATATAAATCTGACTAAAAGCACTCAACAATAGCCATGTCACAGTTTCAACATTCAGATTAATATTTCTTCTTCCATATTAATTAGTCCACCACTCTTAATCTTAGTGTCACACAAAGTCTCTGGATATGAACAAAATATAGATAAACTTTTTGCCAAGCTATAACATACATCATCTGGAGTTCAGCCCCCAAAGCAGTCCTTCCCAATAGAATCCTCCAGAACCTGGTATTTACTGGCAGGATTTCTATCAGCCTTTTGATCTTCTGAGCAAAATGTCTCATACAGAAGCACTGGTGGCCCAGTGCTTCTCTTTCAGGTCACAACTCTGAGTTTCCAAACTCTTCCAACCCACAAGACTTTCTCAAATGCTCTTGAATCATATGGTCAGATACAGTCACAGCAATGACCCCATTTCTCATTCTGTCTTGCTTACTTTTCTCTTGTTGCTACAACAAAATGCCCAACACCCAAAATTAAGAAAGAAAGGTTTATTCAACTCACAGTTTGTCACGGTTTCAGCCCATAATCAGCTGGCTCCAAAGCAGTGGGGAAGGCAGAGAGGAAACATTTCAAAGTGGCAGAAGGCAGGAAAACCAGCAAAAGCAAAAGGATGAACAAGCTTCTTTCCTCTGTTATATTGTAAGCAGGCTACAACACCAAGCACAAGTGTGGCACTCACATCATCTCTCTGTCCTCCTTTTGCACAGGATGAGGATGTTTACAAAGTAAGGAGCCAGTCTTCCTGCTGAGTTGCTTAGTTAAACTTCTAAACTTCTCATGTCGACACAATGTACCAACCACAACAATCATCCTCTAAGAGATTTCACCAGCACAGAAGTAATCTGAATCCCACATGTAGAATATTTGTGGAGGTCATTAGGAAGGCATGTATGATTAAATCGTTGACCACGGGTGATTGGGCACAATAATTACACTCTGTCTTCTCTGCAAAGGTCTAAGGCTGTAGCTAAAAATTCCAAACATCTAATTCTGCCTTATCTTTCCTGGTGGCTGCCTCACTCTGAAGCTACCTAGGATCCCACCAAGATTCTGCATCTTTACAATAACTCAGGTTTGATTGAAAGTGGTTTATTATGAAAATAAATATCTGCTCTTTACCTTGAATGACTCCAGAGTTTCAAGAGTCTTAAAGCAGATATTTAGGTATAAAGAATATATTTATAGTATATAACATATATAATATATGTTACTATATCACAATCATAAAAGAGAAGCCATTAATCAGCTAAGGTTTTAATCCCAACAGTGAGCCCTTTCAACATCTTGGCCTTGGAAATGGGAAACTGTTAGGACGGTGTGTTTTCTAGATCTTTCATTAAATCTAGTTGTTCCTCAAAATGTATGAAATGAGGTGGAAGAGGGGACTAAAAGGAAGAAAGGAAAGAATCAGGGGCTTGCTTCAGATCCTCCCCAATAAATAATAAATAAATGGAATCCTTGACTTCTGACTCAGAGTTATAATTGAACTGATACATGTTTTTCAAAAGAAAACTGACCTATTGTGTTACTGACAAAATTTTAGTTGTGTTCAAAATTTAAATTATGTGATGCTTTGTGCAGTAAATATGATTTACACATATTTTGCATAAAATGAACTTCAATTGTTTTCCTACCATCTGTTCCTTGATGTTTACACTGTAATATTTTACTACTTGAATAATGATTATTTGTTAATATTTTTTACTTTCCAAGGACCATATGAATGTTAAGTAATTGATTTACACAGCACCCAAGAGATATTCAGGTGGTAAAATTCTATAAGCCTTCTTGTTTTCCTCATAAGGAAACTGAGGCACAAGTTAGAAAAGTTCATAAATCATGGTCAAAGAAATTTAGTCACAATATCATTATTTTTCACCCACTCCTTAGATTACCTTTTCCAAACTAATAAGAACTCTGAGGTACTTGAAAAAACTAGTAAAATCATATTTTTTCTTTATATTCAGCCTTCGTGTTTCTTAGGCTGTTTTTTCTGGTACTTGTAACAGAAAAAAAAAAAAGTAAGATGAACCTGAGACTTCTGCCACCGCCCACCCTGAATGACCATTCTTTGCTGATGACTTAAATATCTAAAGTCATTTGGGAAAAGGCAGACATAAGGAGTATAACTCTGATAACCAGAGCTGAAAGATAGTTCAATTAAGTAAGCTGTTCTAAGGTTATAGGGTTCTAAACGTAGAATAAATGATCACTAGAAGATGTGAACTATGGCATTGGTGATGTCCTGCTATGTGGTGGGATGATAGGACAGTGTGGAGAAACCTGATGATCAAAGGTTCCCGAAGAATAACTAACCAGCCCTTTGTGTTTTCCTCAATCCTGGGATTTTATTTTTCTGACCAGTACTCCAGGTGAGTCTGTGGTGTGGAGTATCTTGTGGTCTGGCATACTCTACTTTAACTAGCTGAGATTTTTCCAGTATTAACACAATCGCTCCCCAAGATTATATGTATTCTCTTACAGCAAATGTTATCTATTACTATGAGAGCCTCCAAAAAATGTTTCCACAAATAGTAAAACAGTCATGTACATTCCACGTACTTCATGTACTGAGAATTCTGAGTTTATAGGCTATGTAGATATCCATCCTGCCATCAAGAAAGTGCAAATGTGAAAAATTAAATGAACGTTTGTTTTTTAAAACTTTGTAAATATTTGAGCATATAACTTAGCTATATCTAATGTATTCCAAGACTTTGCACTAGTTACTTGTTTTTATTTGGGAGCAGGTTGTTTGTCTCCATTTTGTTTTGGAGACAGAGTCTCAACATGCAGGCCAGGCTATCCTTGAACTCACTATGTAGCTCATGCTGGTCTCAAACTTGTGGTGATGCTCCAACTGTAGCCTTCCAAATGTTGGGTTTACAGTTATGCACCACTATGCCTGGTTAGTTTTTTCAAGGTTTTCTAATTTGGTTTCTCAGGAAGTAGCCCATTTTGATTACTAATGATTGATCGAGGAAAAGTCATAATTAGATATATATTTTTGCCTTGGAATAGATTATCATAATTTGAGGGAAAGCCTAATACTCAAATTAGCTTTCATTCCCATTAGTAAGCTTTTAAAAATCATGTTAGTTTTAAAGTTTTAGTAAAATTACAAATTTTACAATATATTTTCATTAAAATAATTATGTCAAATTGATTCCAGGTATGATTTTGTGGAAGTTGAAGATATATCTGAAACAAGCACCATTATTAGAGGACGATGGTGTGGACACAAAGAAGTTCCTCCCAGGATAATGTCAAGAACCAACAAAATTAAAATAACCTTCAAGTCTGATGACTACTTTGTGGCTAAACCTGGTTTCAAGATATACTATTCTTTGCTGGTAAGTCAATAAACTACTCTGTGTTTAAAAACAGACACTAGTTTCATGAATCAAAGAGATTTTTTAAAAAATTAAATATAGTAGAGTGGGGATGAATGTAGTTTATTAATCATTCATATCGTTGCAATATTATGGCCAAAATGCTAAAGCCTTCAATCGTAAGGAATGCCACTTGGATCTATTAAGTCAACATTTGGGACATGCATTTTGAAAGAGATTATAGTAAATTGAACAAAAGAAAAAATTTATAGTGAAGCAGATAAGAGATAACTTTGGATTCAATCAAAACAAGGCAAATATGTAGCAAAACAGAAGGTATGTGAATGTTGAAAAGATTTTAAGAAATGTTATTTTTTTGTTTGAAAAATTGCCCATGAATCTCATTACAGAGTCAAACATCTTGATGATTTCAATTTAAACAATTACCCAGATTTGGGCAGAGTCTGTTATTATCACAGAGCCTAGAAGTTGGCAGGCACCATTCAGATCATTAGATTCACTCAGAACCCAAGAGTATGAATCCTGTTTGTGTCACCCATGCTTATTTGTAGTTTCACTTATACTTAAACAGCTCAGTAATCATTTCCAGCTTTAAATAGTTCTGTTATAAAATGTTCAAACTCATTGTGAACCAACATCTACAATGCAGTTAATTTGAGTTGTTGGGTCATACACAATTAGGTATCTTTTTCACTCATTCATTCATTTAGCTTTAAGTATGGATGTCAGAGTTGAACACAGTGGCAACAATTAATTTGGGCTTTAAGAATTACATTTAGAAACAGAAAAAATATCTTTGCTTCATTTTTAATCTAACGGGGTTTATTCATTATGATGAACCATTAAGTACTAAGTGAATTCTATATTGTAACATTGTAAATGGAAAAAATAGCATGTAGTGACACTGGTTTCAGATACAATTTGAAGATAATCCATCAAGTATGATTTACATTATTATGCATTTATGCAATGGTATTCAGCATTAAAATAACAGTATGAGCATGTGATTTCTACATTGCTTTCTCTTTTAATGTTGTTTAATGATGCATCTGTTTTCAGTTGGTCATAGACAGAGCAGACTTGGAATTTTAGAATGGTGGTAGATATGGTCAGTGAAAGTTCTTTTTACCTTAAAATATTAAGCTGCATTAGTACTAATGTGTATGTGATCTGTGATGTTTTGGTTATAAGTTGAGTGGTTCGTAAATTAATTAGAAACACCCTGACTCTAACAACTTCTTAAAGACAACACAACTTTTATGGAAGGTGATACACATATGGGCTTGGGAAAAAGGAATGCTCTCATTTGAGCTGTTTGGGGTCATGGTGTAGACTCATGACTCATCTTCTGGACAGCCTCTGTAGTCTGGATATAAAATAGCATCACTCCCTTCACTCATTTACCCCCGCCAGTATGTACAATTAAGCTTTAAAGAAATGGTGGTAGTTGTAACTTGTTTGTGTGTTTTCTATTGGCCCCTTAATCCTGTTTCCAGGCATATTTCCTATGCATATTTCCATGCATATTCCCTGAGGTATATGCATCTTTTCCCACCTAGTAGTCTTCTGGCACTATGTAAGGTCAATTAGAGCCAAAGTGGTTTCATGGCTGAATTTCAAGAGGTAAAATAAGCTTCAGCTTCATAAATGTAGAGACCGTTCATGTGGCTCTTTGACAAAACTCTGTTGCTTGATTGTTGCTGACGGGGTAATCATCACATGTGTCTTGATCACTCTGTCGGGAAATGCATTGCCCTTATAAATCTATTTTACCTGGAGAGGATTTAAAGCAGTGTTTATAAACTCAGTAATCCAGGTTCAGAACTAAAAGTGAGCTAGATATAAATTAATAGGGAAACCATGGAATTAAAAATGACAAGCCCAAGCAGCAAGCAGGGGCAGGAATCCAGTCCCGGGCCCTGACCACATGCAGGTTGAATTTTAGCTCATGGGGAAAACTTGGAACTTTGCTCCCAGGTGGTAAGACCACATCCTTCATCTGAAATCACCAGAGGATACATGAGTTCTTGCAGGTCTTACTGGCCCACACCCAGTGAGATCCAAGTGGCAGGCAGTTGTCTGCAGTCTGTCCTGGAACCCAACAGTGGGCCAGGTGATTCCCAGTGCACCAAGGAAGTTTTAAAACATCGCTCAAAACCCGAAAATAGGCACGACTCCAGCCTTCAATGAGGAATGCCATGTCGCTCTGGGACCTTGGCCCTGGCCACCATGAGCTTCCTGCCCAACCCCCTCAGGCCCTGGTGAACACAGGCTGCCCTGGGACGTTGGCCCGCACAGCCACTCACTTCCTGCATGACTCCAGTCAGCACGGAGGAATACCACACTTCCCTGGGACCTTGACCTGCTCCCAGCGGATGCCCAGACCCAGGATATCTGCTGACCCCTCGGGGACTCTTTACCTCCTGGACCTAATACTGCTATTGATCTTCAGCTCCCACCCTTTCTCCCAAAACCTTGGAATACAGCGGATTAACTGTGCTAGCTTGAAGGGAGATTCAGTGACTGCCTCACCCAAGCAGAAGGTCTCAGCAGGCTCCAGTCAGTGTGGTGAGAATGCTCCTAAAATGGAGGTGTACAATGGGTAAACAGGGGCAGTAGTAAAGCTCCCTCCAACTAACAGTAAGACCTTAGTGAGTCTGGCAAGAGTGTGGGTGACCCCTTCCTGCACACAGAAAACATCAGGCAGGGTGAGGAGTGTGCCAATAAGGACTCCCCCAGCTTGGAGAAAATCAAAAGGGCTTATGAGGCACACAGGCACACAATAGGGACTCAGTAGGGCCTCAGCCAACACAAACACTATAGTCAGGGAGGCTGAATTTTGGTGACCTGGAATGACCTGAAGTTAAAGTAATAACAGGAACTAAAAGTTGATCTACATCAATACCACTAGGCTTGACAGCCCAAGAAGAATATAGGACTCACCCAAAACAACCTGCTGTGGGAAGTCAGGTGACTGACCCACCTCTTCACTGAAGGGCCCAGCAATTGAACAAATATCAACCTTACACTAGGACCCCAAGATATACACTACCAATAGTTGACACTAGGACTGAAGGACCAAATATTAACTCAAAAGGGGAAAATGGCAAAACAAAAAAGTAAAATGCAATCTCAAACATCTAGTCCACCAGGACAAGTACAGGAAACATTGCAATAGAGGACTTCAAAAGTAACAAACCAGAAATCTCTGAGAAGATAGTGAATGAAATAAAAAAACAACTCCATGAGGCTATAGAGGAAATCAAATTAGAAGCACTCTCCCTTGTAAAGATAGAAATAACAACCTTAGTAAAGGAGTTGCTGAGCACAGTTGAAGAAATAGAGAAAAAAGTACAGGAGCATGGGAAACTGATGGAAACCTTGAATGAACAATATAGAAAACATGCAGAATTCATAGAACAAATTCAGAGAAACATCCAAGAAACAAAAAATTCTATTCAGAGCTGGCAAAACTATTTAAATGAAGCTGAGGATAGGATTTCAGACCAGGAAGACAGGATCACAATTATGGAAGGATCATGAAAGGATAGAACTTTTAAAATTAATAAAGTAGCATGAAATGACAATCCAGCAGCTTTAAGATGATGCCAAGAGCAACAATATAAAATTAATAGGCATCAGTGAGGATGTAAGAATCACTGCAAATAACATACCTAAAATATTCATAGAAGTAATAGCAGAAGATTTCCCAAACATGGAGGAAAAGTCTGATATTCAGATAATTGAGGCATATAGAATGCCAAACAATCACAACCAACATTAATCTACACCCACACATATAATAACTAAGATCTCAGACATACAGCATAAAAACAGAATACTAAAAGCTGTTAGAGAAAAAACAACAACTCAACTATCAAGGAAAACCCATTAGAATCATAGCAGACTTTTCACCACAAACTTTAAAGTCAAGATGAGCTTGGGGTGAGGTATTTCAAGTCCTAAAAGAAAAGAACTTTCAACCCATACTGATGTACCCAGAAAACTTTCATTCAAATTTAATGGAGAAACAAGAGACTTCCATGACAAAGAACAACTGAAGAAATTCACATCCAAAAACCAACCCTAGGAAGAGTATTGAAAGACATACTAGATAGAGATAAAAAAAAAAAAAACACTCTCCAGAACAACAACAGAATGAAACTACCAAGTAGAACAAATAATTAAACAATGGGGAAAAGCAGAAAACAAACAACTGGAACATAGCATGACAAAGATGTGCCTGTACATATCAGTTATATCCATGAATGTAAATGGCCTCAATTCACCTATCAAAAGAAATAGGTTGACAGAGTGGATCAAGATACAAGATCCCATAATATGCTGTATACAAGAAACACATCTAACCCAAAGGAAACTCATAGATTAAAAGTCAAAGGATGGAAAATAGTATTCCATGCAACTCCTGTTGCATGGAAAAAGCAGGGGTAACTGTTCTACCTACACAGAACGTGAACTTCAAATCTAACATGATTAAAAGAGATAAAGAAGATCACTACATACTCATTAGTGAAAAAATTCAAGAGGAAGAACTAACAATATAAATATATATGCACCAAATGCAGGAGCACCCACCTATAAAAATAAATCCAAATGGACATGAAAAACCAAGTACACAAGAACACAATTGTAATAGGAGACATTAACACCCCATTGTAACAAAAATTTATATCAACTAGACAAAAAATCAGCAAAGAAATAATAGAACTGTGAATCATAACTGTGAGCAATTGGACTTGGTAGATGTTGACAGTGTTTCACCCAATCACATCACAATACACATTCTTCTCAGCTACACACAGGACATTCTCCAAAACAGACCATATATTATCACATAAAACATTCTTAAGTAAATGCAAAGGTATTGAATTTATCCCATGCATACTATTTGAACATACTGCACTGAAATTGGAAATGAATGGCAAAAGAAATTGCAAAACCTGAATAAATACATGGAAATTGAATAGCAACCTTTTGAA